CCCTAAACCCTAAACCCTTTGTCTTCTTCAGAGCTCCTAGAGTCCTTTCTGAAGGGGCCCTGCCCATAAGAGGATGGCCCTGCTCGGAGGTTCCCTATGAGATGGAGGAGCATTCCACGATGCTGCATCCAGCCGGAGTCCTGCGGACGACCTGGAACATTCTAGTTGCCATGTGTCTGATCCATGACTTGGTGGTGATCCCTCTCTACGTCTTCGACATACCCGACTCATCAGTTCTGATTGCGCTGGAGTGGTTCACTCAGCTCTTCTGGAACATTGACATTGCCATGACCGTCAGGACTGGCTACTATTACAAAGGTCTGCTCATCATGGACCCTCGAAAGGTCCTGCGCAATTATGTGAAGACATGGCTGATCCTAGACGTGACGTTGGTCTCGTTAGATTGGGCCTTCGTGATCCTCTCATTGTCAGGTGTACAGGTAGACTCTGTGGCACAACTCTCGCGTACAATCCGGTTCCTGCGCTTTCTCCGCCTGGTCCGGATCTTGCGGTGGGTGAAGCTGGGCTCTTGTTACAGCAGCAAGTAGTATTAACCTGTCACGGTAAGTTCGGCCAAATTCCTTAACAAGAGCCCAGGAAATTGCGCCGGATGGCAGAAGTCTTCCAGGAGCTCATTCAGTCGCAAGCTGCGAGCACCTGATTCTGTTTTATCTCCAGGGTTTCTTGAAATCATTGGTCCTCTCCAGAGCACTAAGCTGCAGCTAAATCATGCGACAAGGTTTCCGCTGCATGAACGGCGTGGAGAACCCAAAAAAGGAAACCGCATGTCATCCTGAGATACTTTTGAGAGTTCGACTGCGAGCGGAGGTTGTTAGTGTTCGTTTGAGTGGTTGTCAAAATTATGGTCCCTTTGTGGGTCCTTATTATAATACGCCACCTATTATTTAGGGTACCCCAAGAGGGACCATAATTTTGACAACTACCCGTTTGAGGCATGTATTGGAGCTTGCTCTTCGGCATCGCGCGCCTCATCATCTTGAATCACTTGATCGCGTGCTGCTGGTTCGGCATAAGCCGTCTGGAGGGCGCCAGCGACAACTGGGTGACCCATGCTCGGCTGCAGGAGGATACCACCTCTCCACCGCACATGTATGCTGCCTCCATGACCCTCGGCAAAGAATCCATAGCTTGTTTCAGTGCCATCCTCATCAATCTTTCTGAGGGTGGGCCTGAGCTGATCATGTCAAAGGCCCCGGAAAGTCCTGGGCTCTACAGGTAGCAAAAATTGCGGAAGGGCATTTCAAACCTAAGCTTGGTTCCGTCAAGGAATTGGGCCTTCGCTCAGCTCGGCGTGGGCGTCTCAGACATCAGTCCCCGCACGACGCTGGAAACATACTTCTGCATCCTCATCGCACCTGGCTTTGTGATTGTGATTTCATGCTTTCCCGATTGCGAAACCAGAACTCCAAAGGAATTAAGCCTATTCACATATCTCTAGAGAAGCATGGTATCAATCTCTTCGGCAGGCTTTCCGGTCGCTCATCACATGCACTACGCTGATCAGTCGCATGACATCCTTGATGACTGCGTTGATCAAAGTGAAGGAGGATGAGGAGCGTGAGTTCCGGCTCCTTCGCAGCTACCTGGTCTTCAACGAGATCCCCCATCGTTTGGGGCAGAAGGTTACCAGGTTTTTGCAGCATCAGTTCAGCCTCAAGCAGCAGGCAAAGACTGCTGATTTGCACGTTCCATTGCTCGAGCTCCTCTCGCACCAGCTACAAGGGGAGCTCCAGTTTGCCCGGCACAGGGCATCCCTCGCTAAGCTGGAGTTCCTGGACTTTTTGGGGAGGGGGGGGGCGGAGGGGAAAAAGTCCAAAACAGTCCCCAGAAATAGGAACCGAATGGGTGTGGCACAGGACCACCTCATGGACCACCTTGACCGGCAGATCTTGCGAATATTGCACGAGCTGTGCACCGTGGCCTTGGACAGTTTGCCCGTGGCCTCCAAGGATATGGTCTTTCTCGGTGGCTCCCAGGCCCGCAAGACATACCTCGTTTTGGCGGGCACCTTTACCTACCACCACGACGATGGTGCAGAGAGGGTCGATGCTGAGTCCTGCGGCTGGGTGGCGGAGATGTGCTTGTGGCCGCTCGCATGCACAACAAGATATGTAAAGATGGCAATAGAGGTCTCGCAAGTCAGAAAACAGGCCCCAAGTAGTAGTCTCCTCACTGGTACTGAGAGCCCTCATGATTCAAGACCTCTTCTCAGGACGCCTTGGGTCTACTTGGGCGACCTGGTGTCGCATGATGTCTCTCGCATCGTAGCCATGGATGCAGCTTTGTTTGGTCAAATCTTGAGCCAATCCCCGTCTACACATGACCTTTGGCCAACATAAGGGTACCTTATTCGGGGCTTCCTATCATAGTTTAGTCTTAGGAGCATTTTTCTTCGCCTGCAGCGTGTACGGTTTAGGATATTCTAAAGTTGAGGACCATGCCAAAGACTATGCCAAGAACTTTCTCAGCATGATGCGGGGCAAAACGCGGGGCACTCAGAAGCATCAATCGCCCGAAGCACCAGTCACCAATACAAACATAACAATGTCTGTTGCGCAGCCCTGTTAGGTCCTGGACGGATCTTCGCTATGAAGCCAGAGACGACAACTCAATTGGCAATGTAAGCCGGCATGCTTCTGTGAAGTCTAAGAAGCCACGTGCTTCCTTCACTTCCTCCTTCGCTTCCTTTTTCTGCAGAAAGAAATCCCAAAAGCAGATTGCCATTGAAGAGCTGGGATGAAGCGCAAGTCTCACAAGCGACCCGCTTGTCTTGCCCGTCAGCCTATAAGCAGAAGAGAAGCAGTCGGGTATATGAGATGGGCTTAGCATGCAGTGGTTGGAATGTGCGCGTCCCTTTTCGACTGCGTACACCTTCCGCTGCAGGCTTCCGCTGCAAGTAGTCGCAGGGTCCATCCGAGTGACTGCTAATTCCGATTCCATTTCCTATCGCCGAGGGGTAAGCCCCTCCACATTCTCGTGAGTACCGTTTTAGCTCAGGATCTCCCAAGGAGATGGGCAGCGCACGATGTAAAGATGTCAACGATTTATTTGCAAAGACGCCAGTGCTGCAGATGATCACAGCGTTCCTAGAGGAGAAACCGTATCCGAGATGCAACAACCAAATCTGCACATGACTGGTGAGAAACTAGGCAGTGCACGATGTTTGGCATGCACTCACCCGTGGACATTTCTCAGCTGTTTTCATCGTCAAAAGAAGCTGGTTTGTGGAACACCGCCGCGGTCGACAAAGAGTGACAGATTCTCGAACAGATGAGCAGACGCACCGATTTCTTGGTTTTCACCCTGCACCATTATCAAGAAGCACCTGCGAAATTATGTTGCTCCTCTTCCATCATCATCATCATCGCCACCATCATCATCATCAGCATCAGCATCAGCGTCAGCATCGTCACCGTCGTCACCGTCGTCATCGTAATCGTTATCACCAGCATCTTGAGCATATCTTCGTCGTGATCCTTATCATTCCTTATCGCAAAGACACACCACCCTCGTCATTCATAGACACTCTCGTCCCAACTCACATGCGACGGTGTTGTCCGCCTTTCGTCAACATCCTTTCCTGATGAAGTGACTTTATGGGCGGAGCAACTGTCGTCTCCGCAGCCTCATGGGCAAGTGAGGAGCGGTTCATGCAGCCATTTTCAAGCAGCCTAGTGTGCTAGCTGTTGTACAGACGTCTGTAGCTCCGATGGAGGATGAGAGCGGCGAAGACAAAGACAGGCTTGCAGGCAATTTTTGGGAGCTCCACCGCAAGCTGGCAGATTGCTATGTTCAAGACATGCATCTCAGAACAGAGAAGCGCCCGACACCGAACCCGTCGCCTGGGATTCTTGACACGCTCTCGCCTCTTCCAGCTGGCCGTCGTCGGCACATGTCCATTGAAGCCACCAGTCCGTCCATCATGGAACGGCGGGAGGTCAGCATCACAACTTTGCTGGATAGCAAGAGTCGAGCTCATACAGAGACCAATATCACACTGGCTCCGCTTGCATGTTGGAAGCATAAGAAGAAGGAGCAGTCCGTTTCGAACAATCGCGCTGTGTCTGTAGATGCGCTTATGTCATCCGGTCCTGCCAGAGCCGGCTCGTTCACAAAGAGAGCGGCGGATGGATTCAACAGCATTGACTTGCCTGTTCCGGAGACCGGAGAAAACCAATGCACCAAATCCTGGGTATTACATCCGGGTGGGATTCGTCGTACGATCTGGAACATGGCAGTCGCCCTCGGCGTCCTGCATGATCTGATCTTCGTCCCGATGTACGTCTTTGACCTACCTAGCACTCCGTTCTTCAGAACTATGGAGTGGATCACACAGATATTCTGGAATTTGGACATGCTCATCTCAATTTTCACGGGCTACTACGACGAGGGTGTTCTCATCTTGGAGCTCAAGAAGACCTTCTTGCACTACGCAAAAACATGGATGTGCTTCGATTTATGCCTGATTTCCATGGATTGGGCCATAGTTTGGCTTGATACTCTGGGCTCTGACCAGGAAGGCTTCGTACAGTGGTCCCGCACCATAAGTATGCTCCGATTCCTGCGCTTAATTCGCATGCTGCGATGGGTAAAGCTACGCAGGGTGAACGATGCTCGGCAGCTCCGAGCCTCCAGAGAGTTGGGTTGAAAGGGCATTTCAGGGGCAGGCCTGCAGAGAGTCTGGAGCTTCGAGTTGGGTTGAAGGTTTAGGGTTTAACGGTTGGGTGTAGGGGAGTGATCCTTGAATGGTTGAATCTCGGTCCGAACTAACATCGGGGTTTCAACTGGAGCATGTCATTTTGCGGCTCGGGGTTAGGCTTCATGGTCAAAGGTTTCCCTCCCACTATCTAGGCCAGTCTAGGCCTATTAGAGATCAAATCCCAAGATCTTGAGGAGGCGCGAAGATCTGTACCTTTATCTTTACCCAAGCTGGAGATATCTCCTCGCGACTTGTTCTTGCCATGCGCTCAGGAAGTGTTTCAGGAGCTGCTTCATACACAAGCTGCGAGCTTGTACTATAGCCTCATTGGCAGCATTGCGCGCTTGCTCATTTTAAACCATCTGGTGGCTTGCTGTTGGTATGCAGTTGGCGATCTTGGTGGTGCAACAGGTGTGGGTGTTCTCCAAGAACTTATCAGACATAGATCCGCCTTAAGGTTTGCAGATTGCATCGCTAAACTCCCAGGTTGGGTTGCAACCAACAGTGGAATGGCGAGCGAAGGCATCTTCCACAAGTACCTGGTGTGCATGAACTGGGCATTTGCGCAACTAAGCGTGGGCTCCAGCGAACTCACACCTTCGAGCACACTGGAGTTCGCTTTCTGTGTGATAGTGGCTTTCAGATCTTTACTCACATATTCCACACTCATCAGCACGATGACCTCGTTGCTGAGTGGTCTGAGCAAGATCAAGGAAGACGAGACAAGTGAGTTTCGGATGCTAAGAAGCTACCTGGTCCATCATGACATCGGAAAGGAGTTGCAACAGAAGGTGACCCGTTTCCTTCAACATCAGTATGGCTTGAGGCAGCAAGCAAAATCTGCCGATGCCCAAGTTCCCTTACTACAGATGCTCTCAGCTCGACTCCAAGGGGAGCTCAGCTTCGCGAAATACAGGAAAGCTCTGGGTAGACTGGCCTTTGTGGATGAGCTTTTGGTTATGAATGACTTGGTACTAATGCAGGTACTTCACAAGCTGGCTACGAAGGCTGTTCGGGACGTTGCTGCGGCAGGCAAGGATGTGATCTTCCTTGCCGGCGACACGGCCACGGCAGCCGTCTTCAAAGTCAGTGGCGAAGTTGCTTATTTCTTCGGACACGAAAAAAGCGCCGTAAGCAACTCGACATGGATAGCAGAGCATTGTTTGTGGACACCGTGGGTACATTTGGGAGACTTGGTCTCTGAAGACTTCAGCCGCCTGGTGCTGATTCACGTGCAAGAGTTCTGTAACATTCTCAGCGAGAATGCGAGAGCCCACAGTGCAGCTGTGATCCATGCGAGAGATTTCATCTCCGCGATGCGCAGCCGTCCGCAGTGGACGGATATCCTTCCGCAGAAGGACATATGTCGAGTTGTGCTAGAACTAGTCTCAAATGAGTCAGACTCGAGCCAAAGCTGCAGGAGACACACCATCAATTCAGTGAGCGGGAGACTGCACTCCACCAGCTCAGATGTTGCCACAGCCTCAAATCGCGATGCCCAGATCGCCTGTACGTACGCTTACACACGACGTGCTTGGCGGTTCTACTGAAACAGGAACGAGATCTGTGTTCATAAGATGAGCCTGGAGGTCTGGAGGAGATGTGATTGCAAAACCAAGGGGAATGTTTCTGATTGTGTCTTGGCCAAGGCGCCATCAAATGACTCCTTCAGACAATCATGTCAAGCCACTCGATCACAGTAACAGTATCAGGTTGTAAGAGCCCTTCGAGTAGTCTCGCTCTTCGGCGAGCACCAGCAAATTTGCAACAGCTTGCTAGTCCTAGAGGCCATAAAGTATTACACCAAATGACAAAGAAGGAGGCGAATCGGTGTGATGCTGTGGTGCCACAATGCATCGTCCTGCCAGTGCTGAGATCGCACGCCCCAAACCCAAGGCCCGAAACATGAGTCCTCATCCTGTTGCCCAAGAAACCTAAGCCCTCATCCCCAAACTCAAAAAACCCAAAAACTTCAACCCTAAACCAAAAAAGACCTCAGCCCTGAACCCCTGGAACACCCCTGAGCCCTAAACCCTTCAGCTCAACCTCCCAGGCGGCCTGCTCAAGAGCTCCTTGCTGGGCGCGCGCGTGGCTCCTCAACCCGCGCGGTTCCATGACTTGGTGCATGCGCAGGCCATGATCCCCACTCGAATAGTCCCCACCCAAAATTCCAGTGTAGTCCTCCATCAACAGAGTTAGTAACTGGAAACTATACTACCTACATGTATAGCAAAAGAGTTATAGAGCCAGTTCTTACACCCATGCATGCTTACAGGAACTAACTCAGATGGATGCGAAAGGCGTCATTCACCTAGACGACTCTATAGACCTTCGCGAGATGCACTCCTCGCCTCCTTGCTTGCTGGATGTTGCCGAAGGTTACTTGGAGGTTCATGGGTAGTTATAAGTAGGGTTATTATGGCCTATACTAGGGGGACTTAGAACCCCATTGATAACTAGCCATGAACCTCCAAGCAATCAGCTTAGGGCTTAGGGTCTAGATCGGTTCTCGATTAAGCCCTGAGCCACTGAATCTCAAAGCAAGCATCATAGAGCCGTTGGGTTGGCGAAGTCCCCGAGTCGGTCGATGCCACGTGAAGGACCCCGCGCCAAGATGATTTCACCTTCGAGAGGGCATTTGCCAGCACTTCGGAGCTTGGCCGTGATTCCTTGATGACAGGAGCTGATATTTAACTGTACAGATCTGTTTTGCTCTTGGTACCGTCTCCTGCAAGCTCACGTGTCCCTCGGTTTGTTCCCTCGCGAATTTTCGGTATGTTTTGCAGCATCAAACCCCCAACGATACATCACATGCTTGCCGTAGGCTGCGGCAAAGCCGCAAGCTTGCGGTTAGTGGCTCTTGACTTGGCCTTGGGGGAAGCACAGGCTGCCTCAAGCCGAGTTTTATACCATCGTAGTTTGCATTTTTTGCGGAAATAAGTCAGACTCGCGCTATGAGCCTTGGCCTTGGTATGTGCGAAGCGCCAGTTTGGACGACAGGGGTCTGCGAGATGTTGATGCTCGAAGCATGATGGAGTAAG